CATTGTTTTCGGCACATAAATCACACCTCATGCAAGTCTCTAGTTCAGAATCCTCGAGAAGAGCCGCTCCATCCCGACGTGGTTTAGAGGGCTTTCTACACTCTTGTCCTCATCACTACCAGCTCGCCTCCCTGCACCGCTCCCCCAGGGGACGTGGGTCCCGTGACTGTCTCCACAGATTTACCTGTGCTAGATGCCCCTGCAGAAGAACAGGGAGGTGTAAGCAGCATGTGGCAGTGCCAATTAAGGCAGATTAAAAACCTCTTTAGAAAAGAAGGCAGAAGACATAGGAAACTAGCACAGAATTAAAACGGATCGAGGAGATCATGTGATGAGGTGTGTGACGTTAACCCACCTGCGTCCACGGCCACCCACTTTCCGGTGCATTCTGTACGATTGCCGTCTGATGTCCATGCTGTCCCCACACACGAGGATCCATCCTCTCTCCTCACACGCTCGTGTGGCACTGGCCGGCCGCCTGCCGGCTAGGTGGCACGCTGCGTCTGCGCTGTCTGACCGTGAGAAAGAATGGGGAGCCCTGCTGAGCCCTGGCTGCTCCGAGGTCGCTCTCAGCCTGCGGGATAGCAAGTCTGAATCCGCTTCTGGGTCGGACAGTGCCCAGGGTTGGGCAGGGGGCATCAGGGTCAGAGAGGGGAGCTAAGCATGTGGAAAGTGGGGATGAGATGGACGGAGCCTGAGGTGCTGGTCAGACTTGAGGTGCAGTGAGAGATGGCGTCTGAGGGGCTCCCGGTGGCACAGGGCTGAGCGTTCCCCTGTGGATGGGACCCGGTGGTTTGCATGCACCGTCCCCCCCCCCCCCCCCCCCCCCCCCCCCCCCCTGCCTGCCACCGCTGTGCCTCAGTGCAGACCCACGAAATCCACACCAACCCCACCCAGTCCATTCCCGCCACAGCGACCCCACGGGCGGGTCAAACAGCCCCCGCGGGTCTCCCAGGCTCTACTTCTTCATGGGGAGGCACAGCCTCCACTTTCTCTCTCCGGGTAGCTGGTGGGTGTGAACCGCTGTCCTCCCCATTAGCTGCTGAGTGCTTAATCCACTGCGCCGCGAGAACCTTCTTAGACTCATGAGATCGGAGCGCTCACAAGGGGCCATCTGTGACCAGTGATCAGTTGGTCCAACTGGAGCAGTGGCCTGAGAGAGAGGCCCCCGTAGTGGGCTGTGGGCTGCAAGGGTGGTGTGTCTAGGCTGGACGAAGTGAGGGCCGGCCAGGGGAGGGGGTCCCAGTAGCAGTGTGGCTGGGGTTGTGCTTGCCCTTGTTCTTGGGCTCTGGTTCTGGTCCTCCGGACCTCTACATCTGTCCATGGGCCTGCCCTGCTGGAGGGCGGGGGCAGGCTCTGTGGACAACCCGCACTGGTCCTGAGTGAATACTTTGGGAGGACGCTCCTGAAATGGCCTGTTCTCCCTGAGTGTGCAGAGCTGCCTGGACGGCGCGTTCAGACCACAGCCCTGTGGACCCTGTGCCTACAGTCCCTCAGCTAGATGGCAGCTGGGAGGATGGTGCCGGGGACCCTGCAGAACAAGAGTGCACCCAGCGAGTGCTGCAGGGCAGCCAGAGCTCCTGCCAAGCTCTCACTCAGGAGCCCTGGTGGCATCGTGGTCACATGTTGGGCTGCTAACCGCTGTGCCAGCAGTTTGAAACCACCAGCTGCTTCTCAGGAGAAAAACGAGGCTCTCGACTCCCGTCCAGAGTCACCGCCTGGGAAACTCACTGGGGCAGTCCTGCCCTGCCTTGTGGGCCCTCTCTGAGTCCGCATGGACTCTCGATGGCCATGAGTGTGGTCAGGGTGCTCTCAGTGCACGTAGATCGAGCGGGCCTGGTGGCGCCGTGGTTAACTGGTGGCTGCTACCCTGAAAGTCAGCCAGTGGCAGGAACCCACCCGCTGCCCTCTCCGGAGGAAGGTGGGGCTTCCTGCTCGTGCCAGGACCCCAAGCCCCCCTGGGAGCAGCTCCCCTCTGTGCTCAGGTGCACCCCGGCTGGCCTGGGCCGGCGTGGTGACCCCGCTGCCCTTCTTTCTCCCCGCAGTTCCTGTGTCTGAAGAACATCCGCACCTTCCTCAAGGTCTGCCACGACAAGTTCGGGCTCCGGAACAGCGAGCTCTTCGACCCCTTTGACCTCTTCGACGTCCGGGATTTTGGAAAGGTGAGTGGTCTCAGCGGCAGGTGGGCCAGCTGGGCCTCCCACTGAGAGGCGTTTTCCGGGCTTGTCCGACAGGTGCAGGCCAGGTTGGGTTACAGAAGGAGGGTGTGGGGCCGGCTTAGTGCCTGGGGGATGGGGGTGCGGCAGCAGGGGGCGGCCCATCAGGTCAGCTCTGTGTAAACAGCAGAAGGAGGTGCTAACCAGGGCCCGGGCACTCAAGCCCACTCTTGGCCTCATGTCCACCTCCCTCCTGGGCAGCCCTCCTCATTTGCATTGCCATCTCCTGCATGATACCTTTGCCTCTCGGCTGGGCTCCTGCTGGCCTGCCCAGAGCAGGAGTGAGCCTGGCTGCATGAGGAGAGTTCTGGGTGGGGTAGGTGTTGTGGACCTGGAGGGTGGGGTCAGGACGTGTGCCACATGAGCCTGCTGTCCAGCTGTCCTGCCTTTGTCCCCGGGATCCCTGAGTGCTTGTCCCCCCCAAAGCTCCTGCACTCAGGTCTCCCCTGCCCAAGGTTGCGGGCAGGACGCACCTAGGGGCTTCTGGTGGCCTCCCTGGGCAGAGCCATCATGCTACACCTGGAGCAGGCAGGTGCTGGGCAAGATGGGGTGTCCACCGCCCTCCCCAAGGACCCCAAGGGTGAGCCCCTAGGGCCACTGGAAGCAGGAACTCTGGGAGGCAGCAGTCAGGTACCTGCAGGCTTCCTGGTGACCCTGATCCCATCATGATGGTTGCCGCATGCTGTCCAGAGCTGGTCCTGGACTCAGGGTCTGAGGTGGGCTGGCGGAGGGGCTGCACCGGGCAGCCATGCCTGGCCATGACCCAAGGACGGGTGTGTGGAGACCCTGTGTTCTTGGGGGTGGGGGTGGCTCGACCTTTGACTCTGGTTATGCTCCTGGGTGTCTGCCCGCTGGCAGGACTCAGCGGTCTGATGGGCAGACTGCTTTGAGGACCACACTGGGCTGGGCGCCTAGGGGATACATTGCCTGGAAACGTGGTTGAGGGCGAGGGGGGTCACGTAACCACAGTCCTCTCTAGCCAGGATTTTCCCATCAGCCACCTGGGCCAGGCGATGCCTCCAGGTTGAGGGTTGGGCCTCAGAGCCAGGCTCTTGCTGGGCTGCCCGCCCAGGTGGGCAGGGGTTTATGCTTCCTCTGCAGCGTCCTCGTCTGGCCCCTGGCACCCCCCTCTCGGTGGGCCTGAAGCCGGGCCCTTCTTTCCCCAGCACACCGCAGTACTGAGCCCATCTTCCCCCAGTGCCTGGGGAAGGGCCTTCAGCGTCCATGCACTCCCGAATGCTGGTGCTGACACACTTGCACGCACGCGCATACCCAGGATTTCACTCATGAGCACATACACAGACCTGGTGGCACCGTCAGTTAGGCTGTGAGGTCAGTGGTTCAAGCCCACCAGCTGCTCCAGGGGAGAACGACGAGGCTGTCTGGTCCCCTGAAGGTTTACAGCCTCAGAAACGTAGGCTCCCTGTGAGTCAGCGTCAACTCGATGCCATGAGCTTGGGTTGGTTTTCTTTGTGTGTGGACGTACCCCCACGTGTTCACTCAGACAGACACAGTGGCATCCAGACTCAAGGTCTCAGATATTCACACATGCACACGGGGTTACCCGCACACTCACTCCCATATTCCCACACACGTACAGATGCGAACACTCACACACCCACTCCTACTCATAGACATGCACTTTCACACACATGCACAGAACATCTGTGCATGCTGCACACACATGCACGCCCTCACACTGGTATTTAAAGTAATTGCATGGAAGCAAAAGCAGGGACGGGCCAGACCCACTCCTTGGCCAGCAATTAGTGCTCAGGCCTGCAGTCTAGAATTTCATTCTGCCTCCAGTTGACGGCACTTGGGCAGTGACGTAAGAGGTGCGTTTGGCAAAAATGTTCCTCAGCCACCCCCACCCCCGGGGAGGGGGGGCTGTGTGGTTCACAGAGGGAGCCTCATCAACAACAGGGACCCATGGCTCCTGGGCCACTCTGGGTACTGCCGCTGGCCTCAGCAAGCCCACGACCCACTGAGCTGGTCACTGGGGCTGTGGATTTGGGCCGGGAGGAATGGCACGTGGCCTAGACCAGAAGGGGAGAAACCCACCTGGCGCCCGGACCTGATGAGATGTGAGGCCTTGTGTCCCACCTCTGTGGTGCCGAGACCAGGGGACTTAGAGAGGGGAAGGGACTTCGGGGTGTGTGACGGGGAAGGGCGGCCCTCTCCAGCTGCTGGTGGCCTTGAAGCCTGATGTCGAATCCCTGCCGGCTGGCACGGCAGGTACCCCGTGGCTCTAACCCCACCTGAACGGCTGTGAGAGCCGTCAGGAGCCAAGGCCATGTGACTGAGAGGTGGGGGCGGCCTGTGGCAGAGAGGGGCCCGCAGCCCGCTGTCTGATGTCAGCTTGGAAGGTGCTTCTGCTGTGGCCGGCTGCCCCTCTGCTGCCCTGGGTTCCTTCTGAAGCATCGGTGAAACCCGCCCAGACCTTTCATCACGACTTTGGTGGCGGCCATCCGCCTCGGTCTTACTTGTTAACACGTCTCTGTGGGGTTTTTCTTGGTGCTGCTGGGAGCAGATACAGGGACAGGGGGCCCGGCCGGGTTCTTCTCCCGGCTCAGCGACTTCCGTACTACCCGTGGGCGGCATGTTGTTCCTCCCCCTGCGCCGCAGACCCTGCCCCGGTTGCTTTGTTCTGACGGCATCACAGCTGTGGCTTTGGGAGGAGTGTGGCCCGTGAGCATGGGGGACCAGCAGGGCGGGTCCAGCCACAGCTCGGCCGTGACACAGTTTCCCCGCCCCACTTGTGAAGCGGTGATGCCGGAGCCCACGCTCCAGTGCCCCTTGGGGAGGAAGACCTTCCTCAGCTCCTGCTGCGGGAGTAGACGCATGCGGGCAGATGTTTCCTCCCCCAGTAGAGGCTGGGACCCCACTCCTTCTGGCCTCCTCTGTCTCCACGGGAGTCTCCCTCCCCCACACCTCTCTCTCCCTGTAGGGAATCTGGGTAGCGCTTCCAAGTGGAGCTTGAAGCAGGGACCGCTGGTTGCAAGCACCAGCCGCAATATTTGGTCAGGGGAGGGAGGAAGGCCGGGGTGAGGCCCCTGCTGTCTGAGAGGGGCCCCGGCTTCCTGCTCCTGCCTGTGGGTGGGGTGGTGGTGGGCATGGGGAGTTGCTCATTCCCAGAGCATGAGCCAGTACCTGGTTCAGAGAGCGAGTCTCGTATGCCTGGTGTCCCCTCCTACCCCAGCACAGGACTGCTCTGAGCATGGGCCGGGGAAGGAAGGGGTTCTTGCGTGGCCTCTAGCCAGAGAGACACACACAGTATCCCGTTGCTCCCTTCGCTATCCCAGTGCTGAGCATCCCAAGAGGAGGGTGCTGTCCTGCCCTGCCCCTGGTCAGAAGGGACCCGCTGTCTTCTGGGGGTTGAACTCCAGGAGCAAGTCCAGCAGGTGCCCTCCACACCTGCCACACCTGGAGGCCTAGTGTAGAGGGACCAGGGAGGGAGAACGTGGGGGGACTTCCTTCCCAGTGCTCCTCCTGCCTGGTCACCTCCGAGCACACGCAGTCCTGGAGTTCAGGAGACAGACTCTGTGGGGAATGGCTGGTCAGTTCACCGCAGGCTGACCTGAGGTGCAGCACGGAACTTTCCAGGGTTCTTTTTCTGCCATAACTTAGGTGTGTCCTGGCTGGACCCTCAGTGGTTCTTGTTTATTTTCTAAACAGCTGCCAAGTCTCTTATGCTTGTTGGGGTCATTCCTTAGGGCGAGCAAAGGTAACCACCCACCCATCCACCATTCCACCCTTGCACCCATCAATCCACCCACCTATCACCCACCCACCCATCCATCCACCATTCCACCTTACCTACCATATATCCACTCACCCACCCATCCATCCACCATTCCATTCCACCTTACCTACCATATATCCACTCACCCACCCATCCATCCACCATTCCATTCCACCTTACCTACCATTATCCACTCACCCACTCATCCACCAGTCCACCTTACCTACCATATATCCACTCACCCACCCATCCACCATTCTACCCATCCACCTACACACCCATTTACCCACCTATCTTTCTCTCTACCCATCCTTTATCCACAGTTCCATCAATCCAACATTTCATTTATCCAGACAGCTATCCACTTACCCATATATCCACCCATCCATCAGTATGCCCATTTACCTATTTATTCATAATTCCATCTATCTGCCATTCCATCCATCCATCCATCCATCCATCCATCCATCCATCCATCCGTCCATCCATCCATCCATATAACTATCAACCTTTCCATCTACCCACCTATCCATGCACTCATCTACATACCCATTCATCCATTTACTCATCCACCCATTTATTCACTCACCCATCCACCTACTCACTCAGCCAGCCAACCAACCACCTCACTCAGTGTTCTAGGTGTTGGATTTGCTCAGCATGTGCTTGCTGGAGATAAAGTGGAGACGCAGTCCCTTGTTTGCTGGCCCGGAGGGGACAGCCGTTACTGCTGTGAACTAGCTGTTGGGAAGACGAGAGAGAAGACGAGGCGTGCTGGTTGGCCAGAGACTGGCAGAGCTCCCGAGACGCTGATCTGTGGACAGGCCGGCCACTGCGCTCACCTCCACAGCTGATTTCAACCACACGGTGATACACACAGGTGGTGAGGGAATGGTCACACCAGGAAGGTGCATGCCTGCTTCAGGACAATCATCCATTTGACGTCAACAGGTGACATCTGCCCGGGGACAGAGTCCAGAATCATGAGGGGAGAAAGAATATGGAAACGGGACCCACAGAGAGGAGGCGGGAGGGGATGTGTGTCAGTCTGGGTGGACGAGAGAAACAAATCCAGGGAGACTCAGATGTGTACAAGAAAGAGCTTTATATCAAAGAGCAATTGTACATTAAGAAAACATCCCAGTCCAGTCCATAAGTCCAATATTAGCCCATATGTCCAAAACCAGTCTATAAAGTCCTC